ATAAGTGTCCCCATAAATACTCATCGCAAGACAAACAGCAGCAATGTGTAATAAAAATAAAAATTCACATTTTAATATAATAAAAATTAAAAAAATAATACTGCATTGCATGCAATTTTCCATAGCAATAGCTATATAAGCAACATATACATATAGGCATAAATGAAGAAATCTTTCTTCGGAAATGACCCCAAATGGCTCAGTGTCTATATAAATCAGTTTGATAGACCACCACTTTATCGCTACATTTTTGTGTTCTAGACATTTGCTCATAACTTGTTTGCGCTCATCTCTTATCTCGCGCGCTCTCTCTATCTCTTTCCTCACATTGCCTTAATCTCATATGGTATTAAAAATATGTATTTTATATTTTAAACTCAAGAAGCAAAAAAAAAAATAAACGACTACGAAACAACACCAAACAAACAATAAAAATAATAAACATCATCATTAAAAATATATTTAAAAATTATTATAGTATTATTAAATTAATTTTTCATTTCTTTTATAGATGCTACATTTCAACTAAAGCCACATACAATTATTTTTGCTGTTCTGTTCGGATTGTTCTTTTTTTAATTTTTTGCTACGCTTGTTTATTTTTATATTAGTCTCAATAAAAATGACAAAATGTGTTTGTCTGGCATATTGAGGCAAAGGCGAGCAAAGAAAAAATAAAAATATCGTTTTATTTCTTTCACACAAGAAATTTGCCACTAAGATGTTTTTTTCTCGATTTACTAACAAAAACAACGCAAATAAATTTGAAATAGAAAAGAAAAACAAGTTTTGTGAATATTTTAAATTTTTTGTGGGGAAATTTGGTGGCGTTGAAATATTGAAAAGAAATGTTAAATAGAGACCATAAAAGGTGCTATTTTGGCTATCAAATTTTAATTTTTAACTTCCATTTTTTATAGCAAACGATGACGAGTGGAAATGTTGGACTAATTCCATAACGACCCTGATTTTTTAAAGGCTGTGACGAATAATTAGATTATGTTTATGACATTTAAATCAGAGTTCAATCATTCCAATTGAAGATTTCGCTTGAGGCGGTATTCCCCAGACCTTCACCTTATATATTTATTTATATACTTTTCTTTTTTGTTGCAAAAGTGTATAGGGCAATGTAAAGACGCTGCAATAGGAGATAAAAACTATATGTAAGGACAATGTCCTATATCTAAGGCCAATGTACTAAAAGTTGGGTGGACATTTTGGGTCTTTAAAGAAAATTAGGTTGAAAATGTACCCAAAATGTGGTCCTCACACCAATTTGAACCCAAAATACAGTCAATTGGGTTGAAAAATGTATAAAAGATAATATTGTGGTCATACCAAAACGTGGATCAATATCGTGATTTCAACCCTCCATACTATGTTCTCTTGAGGAAATTAAAAAAAAAAAACATTGTTGTAAGATCTTTACGACAGTAACATTTTTCTAAGCAAGGTTTTGCGAAATTAGGCCACACTTCACATACCACAGCTTATAAATTCCGAATTCCTTCTCTGATCGGTGACAACATCCACTACATATCAATTATATATTTCCTCTCATTTTATAACACATAAATCTTCAATTGAATGAGATCATATAATTAATTTCCATATGATGTATTCAAAAAAACGGCCACTTCAAGCTACTTGAGAAACTCTCCCATGGCAGTAAAAAAACTCAACACAAATAATTTGTGGTTTTCATAGCAAAACCGAAAAAAATTAAAAAAAAGCCGAGAAACACAAACAAAATAACCCTTAGCAACACAATAAAATTAGTTTTAATGTTGATTTTATGATCAATTTACGATTTTACGCCATTTTTATGTGAGGCATACAAAATGGTTTAAAAAAAAACGTAACAGTTTTTTGTTCGGTTCAGTTCACGAAGTTTTTGTCTCTTCAACTATTTTTGAAAACAGCGGCTTGGGAGAGTGATCGTTAAACAATCGAAGCACCATGCAAAGTAGTGTGTTATGTACTGCATTATTTAAATGTTCAAATTAATTTTTTTTATTCCAGCTACCTCTATTTATGTGTATACTGTGTGTGTATGTATTTTATATACGAGTATACATAATAAAAAAATCAATACCCAACTTAAACGCCATAAATCTATTGTTGACATTTTATGTATATAAACTGCTCTTGGCAATACTAATAATAAAAAAAGAAACAGAAGGAATTTTGCAAAAACAAAAATAAATAAATTTAGTATTTTTTTCTGTACGTGCCTTAACTTTATGTCAAAGCATAGAGTGATTGATAACTTGACTTGAAATGTTGAAATCAATGTTATTTATTTTTTCTAGTCAAGTGCGTGTTTAAGAGCAGTCTATAGTGGAGGTTATTGAAAAATCACATAACTGTGGGAGTTTAAGATCCACGGAATTGAGTTAAGATTTTGTGACAATGACGTAGTTTACATAACGTTTATGACCAGTAGCTCGTCTTAATTACATTGTTTTTAAATGATTTTTAGCACTTCTGTTTGAATTGATCTTGGCAAAGGAATCGTTCCTCTGCAGCCGAATTTCCAGTCAAAATATTGTTTCACCAATCATTGCCAATGATGGTTGCCCTTGTTTATTTTTCCAACATCAATGAAACGTCACATCATCATCAGCTGCATCATGTGCAGAGATGAACAAAAAAAGAATCGCTGAAAGAAAAATAAACAAAAACAAAAGCAAGGCAAATTTTTCTGCCACAAACAACTGCTGACTAATGATGTTGATGGAAATGATAAACAGTGGGACAAACAAATTTGAATGTTAATACATATGAAAAAGTTAAAACACCCCAAAATACCAAATGACGGGAGAAACCTTTATATGAGGCTATCCTGAAAAGGGGTCCAATATTTTTTGTAGATTTGCTATCTATCTATATTTTATATTTTTAAAGGGGTCTCCGGTGAATATTTTTAGTGTGGTTGAAACGGAAGACCAATTTGTCACATTTTGGGGCCGTAGGTATTCTTCAGATAAGGTTTCCTGTCTCTTGTTTTGTTATGTATTTCAAAAATGAACTAAAGAAGGTACTGAAGCAAATATTGCTTGATTTTCTCCCCTCTAAAAATCTACTCCCTTATTTAAAACGACCCTACGCAAAAATAAAAATTGAATCGAAGGACTTGAAAAGTATATTTCTACATTCCCCAAATATAATATTCGATTTCCCAGTTCTTTCCTAAAAAAATTTCAAAAGAAATTTTCTCTTAATTTCAATTTATTTGCATATTTTTGACTTAATTTATTTTTTGATTTCTGTTCTTTCATTTGTGAAAAATGAAACTTTGCTCTCATGGCCTGTGTAACTGTAGGCCTGTGTAACACAAATCAACAGCGCCACAAAATTGAAATATGAACACTGGATGTCTTGAGTTCGGAACCAAAAAATACAACATCAATTATTTTTTTTAACAACGACCAAAGTAAATTTGCCTTTTTGCAATATGATTGTAGGCCAGTGGTCGACAACAAGAAGAAAATTAAAAACGAGTAGTCAAATAAGTGGCCTGTGATGTTTTTTCTCACTTCTTCGTCTCCTTCATTTCATATTCGTATTGTAATAAATGGATTTTTATGGCTTGTTTTCTGCAATTTGCAACCAGATTAAAAGTGAAAAAAAAAAACAAAAAACATGACCATATAGATGATGTGCCACAAAACTCTAATGATGTGATGGGGGTTTTCTGGGTTTTGGTTCCTGGTCAATTCAAGTACGTGCTCAAAATGTGTTGACCAACAGCTCATATGGCAAATCGTTGCCGTACTCCCTTCGCTAAGTATTGTTGTTATTATTACAATTGTATAATACGATTGAATACGGAGTATTTAGTTTGAAATTTCAATATTTAAAATGTTTATTTGTTTTTACCCCTCTCTGCCTTTTGTATGGATGGATGTCGGCTAGTTGAGGTTTTAATGCTTTAAGGGAGCTAACTTGTGAAACCAATTAATGATTATTTAATTGAGGAAGAAATGAGAAAAAAAATAAAATTGAGGAATTAAAGAAATGGAAAAAGCTTTGAATTTTTTAGAATCCCTGCCTTGGTATATAATAATACAGTTTTTCCTTAAACATATATTAGAACCAAATTATTTTGTCTATTAAACAAAAACTATAAGAACTTTTTAATATATAAGAAATAAATCCTTTATCAAATATCAAATGACTTCAAAATCTATATTTAGGATTTTTTTCTATTTTATATTTTTCTCTCAATATATTTTTTATTTGAAATATAAATTGAATGACATTAAATGCCAGCTGAAAAAATAGCTCAGCCAAAAAAATATATTTTTACAGGACGAAAATACTCAATCCCAATATTGCATTGAAAACATCTATTATACATCATACCATTACCCTTTCTTTTGTATAGAAAATTATAAATTACAGCATGCAACTCAGCAGGCTCCCCCAACAAAAAATATTCAATGCCTCTACACATACTTTACTTCATATTTTTGAAGTAAATTTGAAGGACTCTTTCAAACAAGGATGGGTTAAATAAGAAAACAATAACCACCTAAGACATAAACGAAATTTGCCACAATGGCAATAAAATATGATTTCTAGGTGCGTTGCTAAATTGAAAACAAAACCAAAAAATTAAAAAAAAGAAAAATCAAAAATATCGTTGCGTGTGTTTTTTGACAAGAAGGGTTCATGAGACATCTGGACATCACGAAAACATTGAAAATGTTAACTGCAATTCAAGGGAAAGTGTTTTTCTATCACCGCAGGCATCAAAACCCGCATATACCTGCTTTACTCCAAGGACACAAAAAACAAAAACTAAAAATATTAAAAAGGCAACATTGAAACCAAAAGTGTTTATTCTTGCCCTTTTTGCTTCCTAGACTAACTCTTTAACCTTCAAAATATTATTTAAGAATATTCCACACAAATTTGTCTTTCAATGTCACTGCCACCATTAACTTGGCAAATGAGTTAAATATGTAAGGGTTTCTTACATTATTACTTACCATTAAAATCACCACATACGACGCGTTCAAAAGGACTTCCCATCCAGTCTGTAAAATAGAGAAAAGAGGAAAAAATATGTAAAAATTAATATTTCATGTTTTACGCTTCGTTATAAAATCATTAGTTAAAGTCAAATTGTTTTGGTTTAACTCTAAAATGTTTTTTTTTTTTTTCACGGAATTTGGTCTGGCCTGCTGTTGTATTTTGAGTCAAGGCTAAGGAAAGTCATTAAACGAGGAATCAAAATGTAAGGGGTATTTTTGGTATTGAATAAATTTTTTGTTATGCTCAAAATGAAGGACGCCATATTTAGTTTTTTTTCTTTTTTGGTGCAAATATGGTGGCCATAATTTGAAATTATGGCCGCTGTTAGGGTTATAATGTTCGAAAAAAGAAACGCTTACATATTTTGTCACTAGAAATAAAAAAACAATTATCCTTGATTTAAAAGCAACTAGTTTTGAAAGTGACTATATGCGAGTTAAATTAAGAACCTTCATGATTTATAATACGCATTTTAGTCTTGATTTTAAAGTAATTAGTTTTAAAATTTACTAAAATATGATTTCAATTTGGGATCATTGCAAAGGGCTAATGATCAACATTTTTAATATTTGAAAATATTAAATATTTTTTTATTTATTCTAACAAGTAAAAACTTCGAATTTGGAATTAAAATGTTTCAAAGAGATTTATTGAAACCAATTGTTTAATGTTGAAGAGATTGATCAATATTTTTAAAATTTTAAAGTGGTAAATATCTTTCATTTATTGCAACAAGTATAAACTTTGTATTCGAATTCGTTCAATTTAAAAAAGATAATATACATTTTCACATCCTTCTCTTTAATATGCGAAAAAATGCATTCTCCCCATTATCCCTTAGTCGTTTAAGTTATCTCACTCGCAGCAGGATTATACACAACAAGGACTGTAATGAATTTTAATATTTTTCCTGGCATAAAAATAAAATTGAACCCAAGCCAGCCAAGCGTATGCATATTCATGTTTATTCGAAAGAAAAATAAAAAAAAACTACAACAAAAACTTCAAACCAGCGAAATGGAAATGTCGTTTTTCTTTATTCCACATCACTTGCTGATTATTTAAAAAAATTGCACAATTTCTCCTCCTACATATTTAACTGCAAAAACATTTCAGGCATTTCAATGAATGGCCCAAAAGACTAACATACAGACTGACAGTGGCTGGTGTTGTCTGTATGGCAATCGTGGTTGAAGGAAGAAGACGAAGAAAACAAAATAGCTAGCCATGCGGAAATAAATGATGGTGCATACAAAATATTTGCAAACGGACTCAGTTAAGCGAAAGTTTGCACAGTGCTTTTTTAATTATCTGTAAAATGCTTTTTTCTCTTAACACATACACACACAGCTAGCTGTGAAAAAAGGAAGAAAGCTAAAAAAGAACAAACGGAAAGGAACAAAAACCAAAATTATTATTCTGTCACATTCAGTTGGAGTTGGAACAAAACAAGAGGACTGAGAATTGAATACACAATTCTTGGTGAAGGTTCGTTCATACGGCACGTGTAATATTACTATAAGCAGTGGCGTGGAATACGATATTCGTAGGAGGGTAAAATATTTCTAGAAAAAAATAGATTTTTTAATTTTGGGTTGCCTGGGAATAAGAATTGTGGAATGCAACTAAGAAGCAAACCCAGCAAGCAATCCAACATGTATGCTGGCCATACAGCAATGCCTGCTGGATGCATCCAATGCGATAAAGCACATAAATTTTGTAGAAAAGCGCAGCATAGACCAGGCACCAATGACAGGCGCAAAACCCCACAATGGTCTATGTTAACTATGCCAGGGGTTTCCAACAGATATGGAGGGTTATCAAGAGGCAACAGCATAGTCGGCGTCTCACCGTCATCATCATCGAGGAGAATGTCATGAGCAAAGTAATGACAGCAACATAAGAATTTGTGTGTGTTTTAATTAAAAAGCAAGAAGAAGACGACGAGGAAGACAAACACACATAGAGAACAAAAAGCGCGCCAAACATCCAAAGACAACAGTTTACTCATCCCAAATGCACACACACACAAATACACTCATATATATTTTGGATGAACCAAAAGATATATCTATAGAATTACATATATACATATATATGGTTGTATCTGTATCGTTGTGCATTCACTTGGTGTAGAGATTCAAACCCCTGATATTTTTTACTGGCAAACAAAAAAAAACTTTAAGTAAATAAAGCGATTTTTGTTCATGAATTTGAATTCCTTTTCATGTTTAACCGTATGGTGGGGTTTCCTGGTCCGTCTGTTTGTCAGTCTGACTAACTTTTCATTCCTTTGCTTAATTGATTGCGCGCCATGTTTGCCTTAATCTGGTGAATTGTAATTACATATTTTTGTGAAAGGACCACCATGAATGACTAAGAATTATAATGAAAATATAACTTTTGACATTTTTTCTTATGCTTCGGTGGAAGGAATGATGGGGAGCCAGTCAATTCATTTGCATGATGGTGTCGCTTTGTTGTTTTTTCTTTAATGAGAGAGAATAATGTGGTTGAAAAAGGAATTAGATGTGTTTGCATCATGTTGTAGAGGTAAGAAGGGATATTTTCGTATTTAGATCTATGACCTGATGTTGCTGTCAAGTCTTACTTCTAAGATGGATTTTAAGGCAATCCAATTAGGCATTAGGTCTGTTTTTAGGCTTAACGACACCGTGGATATCCAAATGACACCAACGTTAAAACCGGTAATGAATATAGTTAAGTCAGACTGCGTCGACTATATGCTATATCTGCATCTGCACCAATATCAACAAAACGCAATAACGTCATTCTAGTCTCAATTGCAAATTCGTGTCAATCGGGCAAGCGTTAGGAGTTTGGTACACAATTTACATAAAATCGGACGAAAATATATATGGGAGCTATATCTAAATCTGAACCAATTTTCACGAGTATTAGCACACAACATTCTAGACCCAATTCAAAACGCAAAGCGAAATTTCGTGGAAATCGAAAGAAGTATGGGGGCTTTGATTCCCAATTAATTATCAAAATCTGAAATCTGAACCGATTTTTTCCCAATTTCAATAGGGTTCTTGGATATCATTCCAAGCTTAGTAAGCCCTCTGGCCCTGGTTTCGACGGTACGCATATGTTTGTAAATTATATAAAAATGTCTATTAAAAAGATGTGGCATAATTTTCCCTTTCCCACTCAATTTGAAATATAAAACTGATAGGTTTTATCTTAATCCCGTATATGACTCTCCCACTCAATAACACCCTTTGCCTTCATTTTAATTTATTATATACAAATCCCAATATATGTTTCTTACTGTACAAATTATATCACAACAATTCGTATTTTCTGTCTTCAAAATTACCATGTTGACAATTTTAATATTGTGAAAATATGCAAAAACAACAACGACAACAACAGTAATATCTTACTATATATATTTAATATTTATGCATTTGTTAATGTAATTTCTGTAAAGATATCCCCCCACACACACATGAAAAAAGACAAGCAAACCAACAAGACATGAAAAAATGGTCAATGCAATTTGAATGGGCGAAAAACTTGTTCAAAGGCGTTTCTCTCCAAATAATATAGAAATGTAAAGTTATATGTATAAATGTGTGCTCGCCTGGCCTCTATATCTATCTGCCATGCTGGCTGTCTCTAACCGTCCTTTCTCTCATTCTCTAGACGATGTGTCAATTCACCAAGCTTCTTGAATTTGTATTAACTGGCTGGCATTTTTCATTTACAGTTTGCTGGCTTGGCTGACTGGCTGGCTGTCGTTGTCATCATTTGCTGACATTCTAATTGAATTTTAAATGACATAGTCATAGTTTCCTTCTCTGAATCTCTAAAATGATGCGGTGCCTTCTCATGATTGCCTAGCGCCTATACTACACTGCAAATATTTGCAATAATTTAAATTAACTGTCAATGTATTGCACATCATGACATTTCATTTGAGGTTATGATATCTCTACAATTCATGAAGAAGAACAAAGGGAGGGGAAATGAAATAAGAATATTCTCAAATCAATTTTAAAAAATGATGATGCTGATCATGATGTCCAACCAATTAAATATCAATGCAAAGATGTGTATCACAATGGATGATAAAGTCAATTGTATCGAACATCAGCTTGGCCAATCAATACCATACTTTCAATTGTTGCGTTACTATGTCTTATGTTAATTTTTTGAGTTCGATTTTTTTAATTTAAATAATTAATTGAAATTTATATGGGCTTGTTGTTTTTGTTGTAAATAAAAATAAAGTTGTTGAATTTGTTAACAACCAAGTAAACGGATTTTGAAAAGTTGTTACCAAGATAACAACGAACAACCGACACCGATAAAATTATTTAAATTTATTTCATCAACATCTAACATTACATGGCCAGCCAGTTAACTAGTTAAACGTTGACCATAAAATTCTTGGCAATTGCTTGGATATTGCCATACGGAAGTTTATAGATATTCACATGTAACTGATTATTGATTTAAATTAGATTTTAATAAGAAATGTGATTAATGCGAAATGCAAACGGCAATAAAACTTCAAATGATAGGTGGAAGATAATAAATAGAATAGAACAAAAACACATTATTTATTAAATCAAATATTTCTAGAATTATTCCATAATTTTTTTATATACATTTCTTAGGAGAGGGGAAGAGGAGACAATTTTTCGGCATTCCTTACTATTTAAAATTAAAAAAAATCCATATATTCAGCAACACATTATTCATCACCTCTTTCCAAAAAAAAACCTGTCTGTTTTATCTTAAACAATGATATAAAACAATTTTTTAAAAAATATTTTCCTTGCCATTATAAACAATATAAATAAATAACAAAAAAAATCTTTATAAACATTATTTAGACCCACATGTTTCATGGGCAAATTTTTGAAAATCAACATTAAAACAATTTCAAATTTATTTTTTTTTTCCAAAAAACGTGCAACATAAGTCATTAGCAGGTATATAAAACCAGAAACTAATATTTATTCCTCTAACGAATGAAAAGTAAAACAAAATTATGCCAATGGGTTGTGAAAAGAAATAAATTATTATTATAATTTGTTGTTTTGAAGGGGGTAATAGAATTTTTATAAACATGCTCAACATGACGTTTATAACATCATTGTTTTTTAATTTTCTAAACAACACAAGCCATTGGAAAACACTTAAATTTTTTTTATTATTAATTTTAAATATTGTTAATGGAATTTGAAATTTGGGGAGAATTAAAGAGCATAAAAATGGAAATTACGGAAATGCTGAGTAAATTAATTAATTGTTGATATTTTTCAAAGGCATACATATTACATTAAAAGTGTGTCGAAGTCGGTGGGTCCATACCCATCAGACCCTCCACAAAGGAAAAATTAGATTTATGAATATTAGTCAAATTTGACGCTCACAAAGATTGTAATAAAATTCAAATATTTTTCAATAAAAACTTCTGACATGCTAACTCTACGCTCAACTCTTATCAGAAATGATGATCTCTCATTAAAAATGAACCTGTTTTTCCACCTTTTGCCAAATTGCCTCTCAAAGAAGAAGTTACGAAATAGTTTTTAAACATGTTTCATTATATTTGTTCATTAACTAATATTCTTTGAAACCCCATCTGCCTATGTTTTCAAAATGGCGGCCAATATGGTTGCCAGGTAATATTATTTGTATTTTCCCATAATAACAATACATTGGGTTGTTGTAAGGAAAATAAGGGTTGGAATTCTCGATAAGACAACGTTAAACATGATTTTGGATTAGATTCAAAAAGTTGGAAATATTTACTCGAATATATTCTTTTTATGTAAATTGGAGCCCAATTTTTTTTATAGAAAAATTTTTAGAAGAAAAATTGCAAAAAAATTAAAAATTTATAAGATTATTTATTTTTTATTAAATCCATTAAAGTTTTATTTTTTTTTTATTATTATCACCTTATTATTTCTTTGGGATAAGAAACAAACAATTGAATGAATTCGAAAATAATTAAAATTTTAAATTGGCGCCCAACATGAATATATTTACTTTAAATATATTATATAAATATAAAATATATGACACAAAAAGACATATAAAAAACTGATTACAAATTTAGGAGACATTTTTAAAAAAATATTTGTTACTTTAATAAAAAATAATTCGAATATAATTTATTTTTTAAATTGGCGCCCAACATGAATGTATGTATTTTAATGTATTATGTAAGAATAAAATATATGATATAGAAAGACATATGAAAAATAGGGTTGATATGTTTTTAATAAACAAAAAAAATATTTTTATTTTATTAAAAATAATAACCTTATTGGAAAATAAAGACTGGCGCCCAACATGAGAAATATTTTTTTATATAATTTAAATTATTAATAAATAGTTCATCAATATTTATTACTTTAATAATTTATTATTTTTTTAATATTTCAAATAAATTTAGATAAATTTCTCCCATCTTCTCCCAAAATGAAATATTCAATCATCCAATTGGATTTTAATTTTAATTCAAATTCATTTCGTTAAATAGTTATAATTATAAAAATATTTATTCCAAATATTTAGCACCTAATTAGAATATTTTATAAAAAAGAGAGAAAAAATAAACGTTTTCATCATATATCACATTGATTTTATTTATTCTAATGGCTTTCTTCGGGCCACACCAAACAAACAAAAGAAAAACAACAATAACAAATCATGATGATCGCCATGGATTTGAATTCATCATTAAAAAACACACAATATACAACAACAATTTCTAGGTAGATAATCTTCTTCAAAGAGGTGCGGTCTATACTAGGCAATGATGTATATCTGTCTGTGTATGTATGCATCTACATATTTCTCAGTTCATGCGGCTTGGGGTAAAATTTTGTGTGTGAAGGCGTTATATTTTACCTTTTGGATGATATCTATCAAAAGCAAGGAATCTTTTGTTGAAAATAAAAAAAATCAACTAGAAGACCGAACGACAATGAGCTGGAAAAGAGATACGTATGTATGCAGCAAAAACAACGAAAAAATCAAATCTAAATCAAAAGCAGAACTAAGGCAAGCATTAGTTGCTGCTGCTTTTGCCGCTGATGATAATGATGCGTGTCTGGAAATTCAAATTCCAAAATGAAATTCGAAAAAATCTTGATATTCTTGTTGTTGTTTTTCGTTCTTTTTTTACTTTTTTTCTGGTGTAAGGGTAATGTTGCCTATACACCGGTGTCATTCTGTTGTTGTTGTTTAACATTGCTGGTATTGTGTCTCATGGTTGTTGTTGCTGCATGTTAGCCCATCATACGTTCAATGACTTGAGTTAGGGTTTCTAGTCAGTCAGCTAGTTGATATTATTAGTTGTTTTTGTTTTCTATTTTTTGGTCGAGTGGTTTATATACAAATTTTGATTTTTTCTTCATTCTTCATTAACAATGTTTGTCATAGTTTTCGTTTGTTGTTGTTTTTTTTTTTTTCATTATTTATATTAATTTCATAAATAGAAAACAAACAAAAAAATAAAAACCTACGACAATATTTTTGATCTTTATGTGAGCGCGTCATTGAAATTGAAAATAGAAACAAAGGTAAATGTTGTGTAAAGGCGAAAATAAATCTTGGTGGGGAATTGAATTTAGTTTTCTCCATTTTTCTTTTTTTTAACGATCATTATCAATTTTTCTTCTTAAAATGTCATTAGTTGTATTTGAATGATTAATAAATTAGTGGAACCATGGGGTTTTAGAAATCACATATTAAAAAATCATTAGGACAAGGGCAAAATTACAATATATCATTGGAATATAACAGAAATGCCATATATTCTGGTATAAACCTTAAAAACCGAATAAATACCGATTACTGGTTACCAATTTTACAGAAGGCGTTTTAAGTACTTGGAATCAAAATAATAATATGGATTTCATATAAAAAATAAGAAATGTTTCCATAAGGGTAACATTTGAATCGACATTTTTTGTGTGAAATTGAGGTTTCTTCTACATTTTTATACTTGAACATTAATAACCCGGTTATTGGTTACTTTTTTAAAAAGGCAAGATTCAAAGCTTTAATGCTTCAATAATTTTGTGTGAAAGGAATATGGTGCTGTGACTATTATTGTTTTATTTATTTATTTCTTTGGGGAAATTGTACCATATTCTAAATTATAATTCTTCAAAAATCAAATGGTTACTGGTTACTTTTATCGAAAATACCAGTTTCTAAATTAAATCCCTTCTTAATTCAGCCGTGGTCAAAACAACAATCTCATATTTATCCCTTTTAATTTATTACATTTTGCATACCTTCATCAAACTGGTTATTGGTTACTTTATTTATTACTCTATCCTCTGACTCATAAACTACCTCCACATTGTTTTTCTTCCGTGTTTAATTTTATTATTACATTATAAACGATCATTGAAATAATTATTTTTAACTTTTTTCAGTCATTTGCGTCCGATTTAAAATAAGTCACCAAAAGTACTCACCTGTTAAAGTCATCCATGGATAACGGGGTAAATCGGCAATACCTTGACCAACTCCACCGGTGGGCACCACACCCGATGAGGGCTGTGGACAGGCATTACCCAGTGAATCAACACCAATGGCACCGGCTGAAGCAGCTGATGCTGCTGAGGCGGCAGCTGCATGCTGATAGAATTGTGCAAAACTGGCTGATGCGGATGCAGGTACGCTCATCGATTGATAGCTGTTCATAACTGAGTCTGAGTACCTGCTGAGAAGAAATTGAGGAAAAGGAAAGAAAAATAAGAAAAACAAAACAAGAAAATTAGCATTGTTGGCAAAACATCAGAGAATTAAAAGAACCTTGACTTTTTTGCAAAAAGGGAGATTTTCAAAAAGAAAAACAAAAATATTAACCATGAAATGCTAATCCAGTGCTAAATGAGGCTTAGCCTATAATCCCCCAGCTCAACCTACCTAAACGGCTAATATGCAAATTAGGCACACAACAAATAGGCGTGCGAATTTCTTTTTTGGAGATGTTTTCCAGCAGATTTGTGGCCTACTTATCATTAGGATTTGACTACCAATTCAAATTTATGAATAACAAGAAAATAAATCTTCAAGTGGCATTGGGTGGGTGTGCATGCTTGTGTGTTTCCTTGTAATACCCTGATGCTGCTGGGCTCTGTAATACTCGGCATGTGTGCTCTAATTTTTATGACCTCCCAAATGCATTAAATGTAAATGGTGTATTGGTAATTTGTTGTAACACCAACAACAGCAAGTTGCCAGATTGAATGGTCATAAAACATAAACATGGCTCTAGGAATGACCTTTGCGGTTATGTTTGCACAATCTCTAAGGATAATCTGTTAATTAGAGCAGTTTAAGTTGAGGAGATTGTGGTTTTAACACCATTCGGGTGAGGATCAATGGCGAAAAGAGAAGGAGGAGACATTTAAAGACCTTCGGAAGTAATGGGAAGTGAGCCAGGCTAACCTTCAGAAATTAATCTGGCCGTGGAAATTTGGAAATTAGAGCAATTTAAGTTGAGGCGATTGTGTGAGGATCAATGGCGATTAGAGCAGGAAAAGGCATTTAAAGGCCTTCGGAAGTAATGGGAAGTTAGCTTAAGAACGAAAAGACTAACCTTCAGAAATTAGTCTGCCGTATTATCTGTATATTAGAGTAGTTCACGTTGAGCGGATTGTGGTTTCTAAACCATTTGATTGAGGATCATTGATGGAAAGAGGAGGTCTTCTCTAAAGGTTTGCGGAAGCATTGCCAAATTAACCTTCAAAATTTAATCTTTATCTTTAGAATATGTAAATTAGATTAGCATAGTTTGAGAAGATTGTGGTTTTCATGCAAATTATGTGAGGATTGGGGGCAGAACATCCTTTAAGTCGTATCCGAAGTCAGGTTTTAAAATCTTGAATAGGGATTAGGGATTCATGTCCGGATTGTGATTTCTATGCCAATAATAAAAACATCTTTGTCGGAAAAGAATAATTAAACAAGGAAGTGTTTAAGGTATATTGGAAGCCATAACAGCCATATAATATGTAATGCGGAGTGCGGTTTCAATGGCAATAATTATGGTAGGGCCCGCCTGAATGAAGATCTTCAAAGAAGACATTTTGTAATGTGTATTGAGAATAATAACATCATGTAATTCTACTACTCATGAATATTATGGATACCATGAATCTTGGGAAATTAAGTTCGAAATTGGAAGTTTCTCTTCTGCAAATTAGTGATCAAACCACAGTTTTATTTATTTATAAAAACCTATCTGGTCCTAGACGTATCGACTTGCAGCTATCTGCAATTAACAAAACGCAAGCAGCATGGGGGAACTATGGAACCAATATATGAATCAAAGTAAATATTTTATTCTATTTTATTTAGAAACCCAATCGTTGATTTCCTATTCCGATATTATTGACATCAAAATTATAGTATTTGCTGATGCTATTATCTTCATTGCACTTACCTGCATGTTTTATCCTCGAGTCCTGTGAAACCTGGCATGCCCGATAGGCCACCATGTGAACTGGGATGATTTGAATATACGGATGGATACATTTTGCTTGTCGGTATGGCAAACGACGAAGAAGCAGCAGCGGCGGCGGCAGCTGCTGCAGCGGCCACTGAACTTGCGGCACTAACGACCTGAGCCGATGACGACGGCGATGAATCGTTTAAGCTGCGATGCAGCGATGACGATGCTGACGGTGAGGGTGAACAACTGCTGTCACCGGTATGCGAATTATGCACCGAGGGTGGTGTTAACAACAATTGTTGTTGATGCTGCTGTTGTTGTTGCTGCTGCTGAAGTTGCAACGATGAGGAACTGCTACCGTTACTCTGTTGTTGAAGTTGTTGCTGCTGCTGTTGATGTTGTGTGGAAGCGGCAACTGCGGCTGCTAATTTGTTAATATGTAATTGTTGTTGTTGCTGTTGCAATTGTAATGCTGCTGTCAACGAATACTGATGATGCTGGCCACTGGCAAAATGTGACGACGACGGATGTTGTCCCAGAGAACTACCAAAGGCCGTTGAAGAACTGGGCGATGATGATGACACTGGCGAATTGGACGATTGATTCAAGTGTCCCGAATTGTTGGGTGATAACAACGATGATGAAACGTTATTGGTGTGACCTCCTGTTAAATTATTGGAAATGTTGTTATTACTTTGGTTGCTGCTGTTGTGATTATTTTGTTGGTTGTTATTATTGTTATTACTGTTGGACGTGGACGAGGTGGCAGCGGCAACGGCTAGGGCGGCGGCAACAGCTGCTGATGATGAATTTTGTGATGTTGTAGTTAAATGTGAACTTATAAATGGTTGAAACTGTGGATACTTTGGTAGCATACTATCGAAAACAAATTTTGACATTGCACATAGTTTTTATGAGGGGACGACTATTGTAGTAATTTGTTTTGTTTTTATTTAAGGTTTTTATTTAGTGGAAAATTAGTTGTGGTGTTAAGGATGGTTAAAAAAATTGTATGATTGTGGTTGGGTGGGTTGGTTATTGTTTTCTTTCAAAAAAATATTGTCTTTAGAGTTCAAATGTTCAAAAATTATATTTTAGTTGATGAAGTTGGTTGCTATGTACTTTGTAAAAAATATATTTTTATGATTTATTTATTTAACAAATTTAGTTGAAAATTGTGTAAGACAGAGTATTTACCTTTAAAACCGAAAACTAAGCAAATAATTTCGAATTTCAATGAATGTCTAATAATTGGAGCTTTTCAAAAATATGGAGCTTCTAAGATAGAAAATAAATTTTTCTTTATTTATATTATAGAAAGGCTAAAAAAATAAAACTTTCCCAATTAAATACGAAAAATTTATAATAGGAAATATTTCCGATTAAATGGATAATTTTTGAAAAATATAGATTTTATGCACTGACCAATAAAATTGAATTGTTTAGCTTAATATTTAGATAATATAATAAGCTTAACATTATCTAAACAAAATATCTTAGTTGACGTTAATATTAATATCAGTTTATTTATTTAGATATATGGAAATAGTAAATATTTTAAAGTGGTTATGAATGCGTTTTGCCGACGCTATATATTAAACGCAAATCCTGGTCGAAATAAATTGTGTTCTGGCAAAAAAATCAACTTCTAAACGTTACAAAACAAAATTTTAATACACGAAAAACTTCCTTTAAATTTAAATGATCTAATTTTTTCATAAGAAAGTTTGAATAGTTTTTTTGGATTGAAAATAATACGAATTCTCTCTATAACTAAGCAAAATAAATCCAATTTTATTTTGCTTAGTTTTAGTTTTATAAATAAATAATCTGTGTAATGTTTGAAAATTCTGCCCAAAAGTAAACCACATTTCAAAATAATGATTTAAAATAATAATAACTTATATCAATAAATAATAAAATAAATATAGAAATAACCAAATGAAAGATAAAACTATTTTTAAATATGAATTAAAAATATATTATAAAAATAATTGTTAATTCATATTTCGTTTATATAAATAATTAATTTAATAAAATATAAAAAAATAATTTTATTTGCCATTTTTATTAAGGGAACCCCCCCCATTCTCGATTTTTTATTTTTAAGATTTTAAATGGGCTGGTAAATGAATACCAATGCTTGTTAAGGTTTGTAACTTGGCACATATTATATAATTTAATTTGTTGTTGTTGTTTTGTTGTTGTTTTTTGGGTTCAAAGAAAAGTCCATATTTTCGAATTAATTTAATAAAATGTAAAAAAATTGACTTCGCACAACAATTAAGTTTTTTTACCACAAACTAAGTTATAAGGAAGATCTTCACCGATTGGCTTTATCCTAGGCCATTTTTATTAAATATATTTTTGGGAGTTGCATAGGCTTACATTTATTTTATTTATTTTTTTTTTTTTTAATTCAAAAAAATCTAATGTTTGTTATTGTAACATCTCAAAAATATTTATAAAACTGGTCTAATAATAAAATGTCATTAACAATAAATAAACATTATTATTTTAATTGGTTTTATTGCATCGAATTATGCCAGTTAAAAAAAACGGGATTCAATATCGGGAAACTGATACAAATATTTTCCAAGAAAATATAAAATCATACTGAATATAAATGATGAAGTGATTTTTGCTTTTAAATCTTGTGGTCTGGTTGTCCATCGAATTTTGATATAAAAGTACTCAAGACTCGGATCTGACCCTGAGGAACATCACTGATGAAGAACCCTATAAATCGTCTTCAATAATTATTTAACGTGAAAACCAAAACGGAGGCTTGAGTGGGTCTTGTTCTTAATGAGCAGACTACGCCCACCGTTTTTTTACGTTTTCGGGGACTTAGTTCAATTAAAATTATCGCGTATATTCTGTGAAACAATTTACGAATAATAATTTTGAAAATTTGCAATTAAAAGCATTGAAAATCTAAAAAAACGTTAGAGACACTAAGCATCTACAATTGAGCGACACTTCTAACCGTCGGTTAGGTCATCAGGCATTGTGGGTAGTACCTTGAAAGCCCCATTCCTGGAAAGAGTGGGATTTTGAAAAAAAAAATTGATATTGCACTATATAAAGACCCCTTCCTAAACACTCATACTTGAACGAATTTTGTAAGGACAACATTGATAATGCCCCATCCATAGGACTCGTCTCGTTGGTTGATTTTTTATTCGGAAAACTAAAAACTTTGAAGATTACATCGAAGCTGTAGATGATGACTTATTGGGTGTAGAAGAAATGGTTTTATGTAGAAAACTGTATATCTGGGAAACATTAAAGGAACTGATATGATGCAAAACTTCACACTTTTGAGGTCGAAAATAATTTATAAAAGAAAGCTAAATTGACAATTTTTTAACGAATATTTTTTATAAGGAATATTCTACCGCTCTATAACAAATTTTCGCCACAAACATAGTAATGCATCGGTTCCATACCTCGAAATTATTATAGAGGTGAAGTTCGAGTGTATTTATAGAATTTTATAATTGGACACATGTCTCATAACTCCGAACCTTCTTGAGAATACAGAAAAATAGCTTGTAAAATATAAATGCGAGAATAAATAAATATCATCGTATTAAAATCAAATAGTATTTGATTATTATAAAAATGATTTTTTTATTTGAAATTTCGGGGAATATGAATGAAAATCTTCAACCACAACACAAGATAAAGGAAATATTTTGACGACGGCATTTTCAGTATAAAAATAACAATTGTATTATTAACGACATTAAATAATATTTTACAAGAAAATAAAAACATATTTCTGTAAACTGCGAAATGAATTACGTTGGGGAATTATATTTAAATGATATTTTTACAAAAATTCATTTTTTTTCGAACTACTAAAGTTTTGATCGTTCATCAGTGTAATTCATAAGATTCTTTACAGAAACATACTTTTGGCATTCTAACTAACTAAAAAGTCCAATAAAAATTTAAAACTTATAAAACTAAATTAAAAACTAAAACAAATATGAATTAAAAAAGAGGTTTACCTTGTGGCTGATGTGATGGGTTTTTTGTGTATGAGATTGGTGGTAGTTGGCGATTTTTTAAACCAAGACAACGAAATTTGTTAAATTGATTGGTATAAACTCACTTTACAAAAACTGAAACACTTTTTTCAAAAACCAGGTGAGAAAAATTTAAATAAAAATTCTCTAATTTTTTATTTATTGATATTTTCTATATCACTTGTTGTTATACCGTCGCTTTTATTTTACACACGGGTATTAATTTTCGTTTAGCGCCGGTTTTAAATGTTTAATGGAATTTGACACTTTTTTTCTTGGTTAGTCCGATCCGCTATTGCTATTGCATTTAAAAATTTTATTGATTTATTTTTGTGGTTTTATGACTTTTTTCTGGTTGAATGTGGGTGGTATTACTTGAGAAGTTGTTGTCAAATACACAAAAACACACGCGTTTAAAAAGTCGTAAAATTTTTTCGGGGTTTTATTTTGGTTTTCGAAAAGTAATAAAATCTTTAAACTATCACTTTTCCGCCGCTTAAGGTTAGACACGTACGAAATTTTTTACGATGTTTTAAAATACATTTAACAATTTTTTTATAACATTCTTTTTTTCAGTTGACAATTTCGATTTTTTTCTTTTTGTTCACATGAATGTGTATGCAAAATTATTATTTTTTGTTGTTGTTGATTTTTTCAATTAATTTCACTTAAATTTTTGTTGTTGTTTGGGTTTTTTTGTTTAATTATTAAAATTTTGTTAGATTATTGTTATTTGCATTTAAATACACAACAAACACATCTGTGACTGGATAATTTCGAATTTATTTTTTTATTATTTTATTTGATGTTGTTGGGGCTTGATTATTTGCTTGCACTACTATAAAGCGGGCGTTGAAAGAAATTATGATTTCTTCTCTTCTCGATTTTATTATTTTTATTTTTTTAATAGCCCAAGCATTGGCAATTGTTGTGTGTTGTGTTGATTTGATGACTTTGACTATATAACTAACAAAATGTATAAAATGATTTGGATGGTTATAGCGGACGACAACGGCAGCGCGTTACCATTGAGTGTGGAGTTGGCAGTCGTCGGCGGAGCGGGCAGAGCCAGAAAACTATGGATGCTGCTGCTGCATTTACTCAATGGTGTGTGGCGGGCGGTGCGTTCGCTTGCTCTGTGGATGTGGTATGGTGTGTGGCGACGTTTTGGGTTATGGTGTTTTGGTCTCAAATAATGATGGCACGGTGGCGGCGGCGGCGGAAACCTAGACTATGAGGAGAATGTCGGTGCTGGTGGTGGTGGTAGTGGTGATTGCGGTATTGTAATCAAGTGCAGCACTACACTACATTCAATGAACAATAAGACAATGATTTTCCGTTTTTCTTTGAGAAATTCTAAGATTTACATACAAAACCTCCGTTGCATTCGTATTTATCTTTTTGTTTACCGTTTATTTATTTTATTTTTGTTTTTCTCAAAAATATTTTTGTCTTTTATATTTTTTTGTTATATTTATTTTATTTAATCACTCTAGTAAATTTTCTTTTATTAGCACTGCTCACAGTGTTTTATCGTTTCAAGTTTCGGCGGTTATTGTTTAATGTTTGTTGGGGCTTTTTTGTTTTGTTATATTATTTGGCGCAAAAATTCTCCGCAGACAGTTGTGCGCTCTACGATAATAAATATTATAATAAAACGAAATTTTTAAAAGAGTATAAAATTCGTGTAATTGGTAATATCTGCAGCTATAGCTTCTACATAAACGAACAAATAAAACGAGTATTTTGGATGGTAAACTGAATAGCTTGGCAGACTGGCGATGCCGGCGACGTAATATGCCACTGTTGTTGTTTGACGCAAACTGAGCGCCAACGTTAATCTGAAATGCTGTTGCTGTCAGTACTGCCTCTGCCTTTGCTAATGTATTTTGGTGGGGGGCTCACTC